ACATATAGGATATTAGTACCTTTGTACTGGGTTTACACATTATGGAATACGAAGCAACACTATCGCATCTGGATTTGGCCCACCTAGGAACTTTGAGAACAAAACAACCCTGAATTGGATGGCCAATTGCACTGGAGCTCAGAAGCTAAGCAGGGTCAGCATGGTCAGTGGTTGGCTTCAGGAGTCATTTCGTAGAAAAATAGGTGCAGGAGCTCATTAGCATAACTCATTTGCATATGCCACACTTCCTGACATCACCGGAAGTGTGTCGGAAGGCAACACCCACCGCTCAGGCTCCATTGGACTGTTTTGGATTCCTAGCTCCAGGGGTGGGAGGGAGAACGTGCAGATCTCTCCTTGCAGAGGAGGGAGAGCTTGTACCTGAATAAAACTTGGTCCTAAAGGTGCCACTGGACTGTTTTGGGCTGGGCCCCCGGGGGGGGGAGCTCTGCAGCTTTCCTGGCTGCTTCTTGCTGTGACTGAGGGCTGCTGGGAGCAGGGGGTGGGGCTTGTTGCATGTGCCCGCCCCCTGGGCTCTTTACTGCCGGAGCTCCGCTCCTGTGCGCTCCTGCAGGAAATGACCCCTGGTTGGCTTGGGAGTCCACTAGGGAAGCACAGGACTGCTACACATAGGCAGGCGATAGAGCACCTTCTCTGAAATTTCTTGCCTTGCCTGAGCCTGCCTCGGTGGGGAGGGCGGGGTATAAATGAAACAAACAAATAAGATAACTCCCTGGGGGTTCATCGTTAAATCAGCTGCAACTTGATGGCACTGTACACATACACCCACACACCGGATGAACAGCCGTCCCAGTACAAGTATTATTTAAAGACTAATGGCTTCATTGTAGAACGAATGCTTCCAAATGGCAATGGGTGATTAAAGGAGCCAGAATAAAAAGGACACAAGAGGGTTGTTGTTCAGTCGCACAGTCGAGTCCGACTCGTCGCGACCCCATGGACCACATCACGCCAGGCCCTCCTGTCTTCCATCGCGCTCCGGAGTTTGCTTAATTTCATGTTCGTTGCCTCGATAACACTGTCTAACCCTCTCATCCTTTGCCGTCCCCGTCTTCTTTGACCTTCAGTCTTTCCCAGCATCGGGGTCTTCTCCAGTGGGTGCTCCCTTCTCATTTGGTGGCCAAAGGATTTGAGCTTCAGTGTCATTATCTGGCCTTCCAGGGAACAGTCAGGGTTGATTTCTTTTAGGATTGACTGATTTGATCTTCTTGCAGTCCAAGGGACTCTCCAGAGTCTTCTCCAGCACCATAGTTTGAAAGCATCTGTTCTTCGGCGCTCAGGGAGAAAGAGGGAGAAATCAGCTAAACCTTGAGTCCCAAACAAGGCTCTCTTCTTCATGAATTTAGATGCTTCAGATCCTTCAACCTTTCACACAGAACATGTTCATGTATAAAGTATCCCTATTCTCACATCAAGGATTAATGGGCCAGGTCTCGGCAATCCATTCCGTTAGCGGCACTGGTGGTGCAAGAGCATCGGCGAAAGGCTTCTTAAACCGACGAGGAGCACTGTTTGCAGAACAGATACATGTGATGAACACGATGAATCCATGCATGCGCATACACACAAAATGTGCATTGCCAACAGCTATCCTGTCAGCTTTCAGTGTCGTTTCAACAGCCTGCCCTGCCCTCGGTTCTGAAGCAAGGGGTGTCAGGAAAGAGCTCCAAAGAATTTCTAGCTTTTGAAACTGAAGACTAATCTCCTCAATGGGTCAGGATCAGTGTTCCCTCTAAGCTGAGTTAGTGTGAGCCAGCTCACAGTTTTTTAGCCTCCAGCTCATAAATTTTTGTCTTAGCTCAGGAAGGATGGCTCCAGAGCAGTGTTCCCTCTAAGCTGAGTTGGTGTGAGCTAGCTCAGTTTTTTAGCCTCCAACTCACAGATTTTCATCTTAGCTCAGGAAGGAGGGCTCCAGAGCAAACTAATTTATGCAGGAGCCAAACTGCTTACTCACAACTTTAATGCCAGTAGCTCACAAAGTAGACTTTTTGCTCACAAGACTCCACAGCTTAGAGGGAGCACTGCTCCAGAGCAAACTAATTCATGCAGTGGGAGGGCTTCTAATGTCCTGGCCCCACTGGTGGACCTCCTGATGGCACCTGGTATTTCTGGCCACTGTGTGATACAGAGTGTTGGACTGGATGGGCCTTTGGCCTGATCCAACATTGGCATCTCTTATGTTCTTATGCAGTAGCCAAATCGCTCGCTCACAACTTTAACGCCAGTAAGCTCACAAAGTAGACTTTTTGCTCGCAAGACTCCACAGCTTCGACGGAGCATTGGTCAGGATGTGCTTCTGATAATAAAACATTATCTGCATCTCCAGGTCGTCGGCAGATTCATCATCCAGAGCAGTGGCCGTGGGTAGAGAACAGCCATTTGCACAGCTTAGTTTAGAAATAAAGGCAGCATTACCCCACTCAAACATAAGGGAAGATAAAAAGAGGGAGGAGTCAGGGCTCCCGTGAAAATGAGGCAAGAAATCCACAGCGTAGCCACGAGATTTCAGGCAAGGACACCCTTGGAAGGTCCACAGCTGGGTCTCGGTTCAACTCTCCCTTCTTCATCTTCACCCCGAAAGAGTCACTCCGACCTCGGCAAAAAAAATACTGATTGTTGTTCAGAACCTCCCCCCCCCCCCGAAAAGACTTCTGTTCACTTCGCCAGTATATGGATTGCCCTTTCATTCCACCTTGACTTTTATGACAAGAGTTTCAGAGGGGCAGCCGTGCTTCAAGTTTAGTCGTGCCTTAGAAACCCAACAAGGATCGAGGTTGCATCTGATAAATTTGACAAGCTGCTACTACGCTTCTTACATCTTGATTTTTTAAAAAGGTTAAGGTAAAGGTTTCCCTTGCTCGAAAGCCAGTCGAATCCGACTCTAGGGATGCGGTGCTCATCTCCGTTTCCAAGCTAAAGAGCCAGCGCTGTCCGAAGACGTTTCCGTGGTCATGTGGCCGGCATGACTAGATGCCAAGGTGCATGGAACGCTGTTACCTTCCCACCAAAGCAGTAACTATTTATCTACTTGCAATTTCTTGCTTTCAAACTTCTAGGTTGGCAGGAGCTGGGACCAGAGACAGTAGCTCACTCCGTTCTGCGACACTCGGGTCTCAAACTGCTGAACTACTGACCTTCCAGTCTGCAGTTCAGCATCTTAACCCCTTGAGCCACCGCAGCCCCACATATGATTTTAGGTGCCCCTAAATGTGTTTCTGGACTTGTCTTATGGGCAGAAATAAGTCAAAATTATTTGGAAGCAATGGCATGGATCTGAGCCATAAAATATCGTGTGAAGATTCTTAAATCGGAACTGGGATGCAGTTTATTACCTCTGATTCATAATGACTCATTTGTATTTATCCCATAGTGGGATAAATTAATGGACTTCAAAATGTCCACCTTAAACTTGCCAAGACACAATAATGTGTCTACCTACCAATGAGGTGTATAAATGAATAAAGGACCATATTGCAGAATTGGACTACAGTAGTACATATTTATGTGCTTGACGAGACGTCGAGTCCGAGGCACTTGGACTGTCCTTCCATCAGAAAATTTGTTGTTGTTCAGTCGCACAGTCGAGTCCGACTCTTTGCGACCCCATGGACCAGATCACGCCAGGCCTTCCGGTCTTCCGCCGTCCTCTGAAGTTTGCTCAACTTCATGTCCGTTGCATCTATGACACTGTCTAACCATCTCATCCTTTGCCGTCCCCGTCTTCTTTGACCTTCAATCTTTCCCAGCATCAGGGTCTTCTCCAGTGAAATACCACCACATTTTTGTAAGTTGAAGGTTCCAAAGCTGCGGCGAGCCTTTGTGTGGGCACGCACGGACTCCTGACCTTCCGCGGTGTTCAATGGGAGACGTTCACAGACACCTTATTCAGATCGAACCTGCCAGTGTTCCACAAATAGGATCGAGGCTATGGCTCATATTGTCTTTGACTGAGAGCCGAAGCTTGTGTGACTGCTGAATCGAAGATTATCTGGCTTCATTCAGGTTTCAGTTCTGATATCACTTTTCCAGTGGCGAGGCTTCTTGCAACTCTGTTCTGATCAATATGAGTTTAATTGCTCTGTTTCGGCTCAGGTGGCTTTTTAACAGGAGGAAGGGAAGGGAAGAAGCCGACAAGATTTTCAGGGCATGGGCTTTTGAGAGTTCAAGCTCCCTTTGTCTCTTCCCTACTTGTATCTGATTGGGGGGGGGGGGGGTTTTACGAAACTCAAAAATTCAAAAACCCCCCCCCCCCCCAGCTACTCTGAGGCACTACTGGGCCCGAATCGCAAATGTTCGCGAGGAGAGACTAATGGCAGGGATTTATGGCCTCCTCGTCCCAAAAAATATTTTCACACCTAACATATAAAAGTTTGTTATTGAAATCAATGTCATGTCTTAAAGGTGCCGCCGGAGCTTTTCTTTTATTCTTCTCCTAAACATACCCATTGGGGAAGCTACCAAGTCCATAATGCCCAGTTACCTGCTAACTCTTTCTTAGGAGGGAGGTCCCCGAATGCACTTTGGTGAAACCTTTAAATGTAAAGGGGGGGGGGGATGAAGAGGGGAATCTGAAACAGCAAGGAACAACCGACATCGTCATGCAGCTAGGAGGCTTACTTTCTTAATACTCTTTCAGGGTCACTTGTGACCCCAAATACATAGGATCATTAAAACCGTTTATTGCCTTGTTGGACAGACAAATCAGTACCTAAGGGTAGCCTACCAGAAACAGGGCATGATGTTAAAGCCTCTCCCGGTTACCCCCACCCCCCTGATATTTAGAGGTATACTGCCTTGAACTTGGAGGTTCCATTTAGTATCACAGCTAAGAGCCATGTACGACCTTCCCTGGTATTTCTACGTCCCAGCCACAGAGCAACTGCAGACATTCTGGTATCCTCACAGCAAAAAGATCTCCACGGAAGACGACAGAAATCCTCCCACAAAGCGACAGACGTCACACCGGGCAAGATGGGGAGCAACAGAGGGCCGGTTTCCAATATTTTAATGAGTCACTACATCTTACACTCATAATTATAAAAGAATAAGAATCCATAAAAATATTTTCTTTTCATAATACGCACTTAAGATAACTTGGGCAAGTCGTTTTGTGGTTCATCTTTTAGGCAAGTGGATGCTTCTCCTCGGTTTCGATGGCGCCCCCCCTCTGCCCCCCCCATCTGGAGAAGGGCAGGAAGAAGGGAGGTTGTGAGCAAGCAGGCAAGGAGGGCCCCCCCTGAGGTGCATAAACGTGGCAAACCCCCCCCCCAAGGCCTTAACTACAGCCTGTGCTGGCCGGTGTTAGGACTGAAGACCGGGGGGGAGGGGTGACGGGAGAGAAAATGAGCAACGTGCCTGCCTGGATTGGATGGGCGAGGGGATACAGTCGCTGACCTGCAGAGAACTGAAGCGGTGCCTGTACTTGGAGCACACGCCTGAACACTCAGCATGGGGAGGAAGGAGATTGGGGGTGTGTGAGAAAAGGGCCGTGGGACAGATACAGGAAGGATGGGAGGGCGGGGAGAGGAGTATCTGCATAAATTAATCTTGCAACACAAACAAACCAGGTGCCGCTGCAGTCCCTGGTCATGCGAGCGCTGCACTGGCGCCGTGCCTTCCCCTTCTGAAAGAGCATCACCTGACCCAAACTGGGGGTGAGGAGGGGGGTTGCAGAGAAGGATCCCCAAACATCAGCACTTCATGCTTCTCAGACGGAGCTGCCCCGCAATCCCAGAGTTCCTAGTTTTCGAGTACGTCGCAGCGAGGACACGAATGAGCACCGAGGTGTAGCCTGAGACGCATCATCACCAACATCTGTCCTTGGATGCACCGCCCCGTCCTTCGCCTCTGTGTGTCCCCCCCTCCTCTTCCACTTCTTGGCAGCTGGGGGAGGGGGGCTCTTCCATCTCCCAAAATGCGAGAAAAAGCAAAGAAAATGTTGCAAGGAAGAGAGTGGAATACAATTAAAGGTAGGGGGCAGAAGAGACAAGGGGGGGAAGCGAAACACATACAGAGAACTGCAGCGGGGTGGGGTGGGGGGACGCCTGTCTTTAGTCCCAGCACAAAAAAAAGTAGCAGCAAAACCCAGGGAAATGTTTTGTTTTTAAAAAACCTAGAGAGGAGCTGAAGGAACAAGGTAAGAGAGCTGCGCCATCCAGACGGGGCGGTCTCCGCTTCCCTCTTTTGACTCGGGACACCTCTGGCACAAGAGACGCGCACGCAGCAGAAGGCGACTTGTGCTCTGGGTTCAAAGGCTGCCAAGGGGCGAAAAGGGGGAGGTGAGGAGCAGAGTCAGGAGTCGTCGGGTGTTCGCAAGGGCCTGCGGCGGGACTCGGCCCTCAGAGGTATTCTTGGAGAAAGTGCAGCAGCGTGATTTCGTAATGCTCCCCCAACTCTGGGCAGCAAATACTGTGTCGCTCGTTGGGGTAGATCTGCAGACAGAGAGAGAAAAGAGAGCTGAAGGTGCCCAAGTCTGGCCTGGACAAGATCTCCGCTCTGGATCCAAGGCTGGACTCACACAGCACTGGTTCAGCTTCCTAAGCATCTCATTTTAAAACACGGACAGTTCTAGATGTCACGCCTGCAAATTTATTCTTGACCAGAAGCCAGACAAGGGGCTGAGCCGTGGTGGGGGAGGCGCTCGTGGCACCCGGTTCCTCTTCATGACTAGAAAAACCAAGTTTATGTGGTCACCATTTGTTTGGTTTTAATTTTTTTTGGGGGGGGGAATGTGAAGGGGGGAAAATGATCAAAATCGTGAGACTTCCTTCGCTATGTTGTCCCCTGGAATTAAACCCAAACAAATGGTGACCCTATAAGCGAAGCTTGCTATTCCAGTTTGGTCCTTGCCAGTCTTCCCTCTAAGCTGCGTTAGTGTGAGCCAGCTCACAGTCTTGTAGCCTCCAGTTCACAGATTTTTGTCTCAGCTCAGGAAGGAGGGCTCCAGAGCAGACTAATTTATGCAGTAGCCAAATCGCTCGCTCACAACTTTAATGCCAGCAGCTCACAAAGTAGAATTTTTGCTCACAAGACGCCCCAGCTTAGAAGGAGTATTGGCCCTTGCATCTGTTAGATAGCTGTATGCTAATTTGCTGCTCACCCTATACCTACATGCAGGGGTCATTTCCTGCAGGAGCGCACAGGAGCGGAGCTCCAGCTGTAAAGAGCCCAGGGAGCGGGCACATGCAACAAGCTCCACCCCCTGCTCCCAGCAGCCCTCAGTCAGAGCAAGAAGCAGCCAGGTAAGTTGCAGAGCCCCCTCCCCCGTCTCCCTGGTCCAAAACAGTCCAGTGACACCTTTAAGACCAAGTTTTATTCAGGTACAAGCTCTCCCTCCTCTGCGAGGACAGATCTGCACGTCCCCGTCCCCCCCTAATAGCTAGCAATCCAAAAGAGCCCAGTGGAGCCTGAGCGGTGGGTGTTGCCTTCTGACACACTTCTGGTGATGTCAGGGGGTGTGGCATATGCAAATAAGTTATGCTAATGAGCTCCTGCACCTCTTTTACTACGAAATGACCCCTGCCTACACGTATGGACTGGTAACTTCCATTTCAATGTGCCTGAAGAAGCTTATACCTGAAATAAAACTTTGCTGGGCTTAAAGGAGCCACCGGACTCAAACTTTGTTCCGCTGCTTCAGACCAACATAGCGACCCACCTGGATCTAGCAAAACTAAAGTTGCTTTAAGTTATTCAATGGATTTAGCAAATGGGCTTCAATCTGAATGCATGACCGATCCTTTCAAAAAGACCTTTTCCCACTGACCTTCCTTCCGGCCCCAAAGGAAAGGTGTAACTGGAACCTACCTGTAGCTGATAAGGTTTCCCGGCACGGATGAGCTGGGAGATCAGGAAATTGGTGTGGAAAAAGTGCACGTTTTCATCCAGAAACCCGTGGAGGATCAGCAGACGGTTGGGCCTGGAAGGCAGAGGGAAGAGGCAGCCACCTGAAGGGTGATGTGTGCAGCACGGAGGGAAAAGGGTCATGTGTCTCGGGGGGTCAGGGGACCAAAGCTTTGGGGAGGTAACTGGCTTCAGGCAGGCACACACAGGAAGCGGCCTTGTGTGGAGTCACTCCATCAGTGCATCAAGGTCAGTATTGTCTACTCAAGCTGGCAGCTTCAAGGGGGGGTTGGATAAACATATGGAGCAGAGGTCCATCAGTGGCTATTAGCCACAAGGTGTAGAAGGAACACTCATGGCAGAGTGTCAGGCAGAGGTCCTTCACGTCCTTTTGTACCTGGTTCGTTTTACGGAGGATGCCAGGGATTGGACCCGGAGCCTTCCGTGTGCAAAGTGGAGGCCCTTCTGAGCCACAGACCCGGCCCCCAGGACCAGTAAAGCCCCCCCCCCCGGGATAAAAATGCACCCCCACAGAAATAGGATAAAAATGCACACCTGGTTCTCCCTTGTGAATCCACCATATAAGAACATAAGAGAAGCCATGCTGGATCAGACCAGTGCAAACACACACCTATAATCTGAATATCAATACAAGTACAAAAGCACCTATAATCTGAATACAAGTACAAAATAGTGCAAATTTATGACAATAAGAAAATATTTCACTGTCTCTTATGTGCAATTCCAGATGAAAACAGATCCCAGATGAAAATGGATGAGGAAATTCTCCAGAGTAAACTTGCGTTTTGTAAGAAGAACTTCTTCCAAACATTACAATGTACACAATTATAACCATTCTACAGTCATTTACATACATAAGCAATATATCAAAAAATTCAATAAACTTTATACATTCCATGGCTGAATCATATCATTTACATTTGACAAGCCTTTATTGACATATGTATATGCATACAATAGGAGATCAGGTTAAATATAGATCGGAAAATACAAATCTATATAGGGTAAAATTGGAGCTACGGCGCAGAAAAACAGCATGAACGCAGAAAAACCTAATGGTTAGTTGAATCATATCCAGAAATAATTTCACCAATTTCTAAAAATCCAATGTATTATATTAATACTAAATACTCAATTCTACATACAATAAGATCAAGCATTGAAATAACATGAAACATTACGTTTTAAAACATGCTCTTACCCTAATGTTTCTGGATATGATTCAACCATGGAATAAGAAGAGGCATTTATTGTATGTATAAAGTTTACTGAATTTTTTGGTACATTGCTTATGTATGTAAATGACTGTAGAATGGTTATAATTGTGCACATTGTATTTCATGAAGGATATCTTGATGATTGGAAGAAGTTCTTCTTACGAAACGCAAGTTTACTCCGGAGAATTTCGTCATCTGTTTTCATCTGGAATTACACATAAGAGACTGTGAAATATTTTCTTATTGTCATAAATTTGCACTATTTTGTACTTGTATTGATATTCAGATTATAAGCGCGTGTTTGCATTGTTCACAGCTTTTTTGGATTTTTTTCTTTGCTAGTTATATGGGCTGTCACCCTCTTGCATATTGGATCAGACCAGTGGCCCATCCAGTCCAGCACTCGGTGTCACACAGTGGCCAAAAATCTAGGTGCCATCGGCAGGTCCACCAACGAGACCCAAACTCCAGAAGCCCTCCCACTGTTGCCTCCTAAGCACCAAGAAGACAGAGCATCACTGCCCCAGACCGAGAGTTCCATCTATAAGTAATTAAAGGTAAAGGTTTCCCTTGCTCGAAAGCCAGTCAAATCCAACTCTAGGGGGGGGTGCTCATCTCCGTTTCCAAGCCGAAGAGCCAGTACTGTTCTCTGGCATGACTAAACGCTGAGGCGCACGGAACGCTGTTACCTTCCCACCGAAGCAGTACCTATTTATCTACTTGCAATTTCTTGCTTTCGAACTGCTCGGTTGGCAGGAGCTGGGGCCACAGACGGGAGCTCATGCCATCACGCGGCACCCAGGTCTCAAACTGCTGAACTTCCAGTCTGCAGCTCAGCATCTTAACCTCTGAGCCACCACAGCCCCTATACTATCTATATATATACTTTGTGGCTAATAACCCCTCTTGGACCTCTGCTCCATAGTTTATCCAATCCCCTCTTGAAGCTGTCTATACTTGTAGCCGCCACCACTTCTTGTGGCGAGGAATTCCACATGTTAGTTGCTTTTTGGGTGAGGTACTTCCTTCTGCTGCAGTGGCTCAAGTGGTTAAGACGCTGAACTGCAGGCTGTGGAAGGTCAGTAGTTCAGCAGTTCGAGACCTGGGTGCCGCGTGACGGAGTGAGCTCCCGTCTCTGGCCCCAGCTCCTGCCAACCTAGCAGTTCAAAAGCAAGAAATTGCAAGTAGATAAATAGGTACTACTTTGGTGGGAAGGTAACAGCGTCCCGTGCGCCTTGGTGTTTAGTCATGCCGGCCACATGACCACGGAAACGTCTGCAGACAGCGCTGGCTCTTCAGCTTTGAAACGGAGATGAGCACCGCAACCCTAGAGTCGGACTCGACTGGCTTTCGAGCAAGGGAACCTTTACCTTTTTTACTTCCTTTTATCTGTTCTAAGCTCACTGCTAATTAACTGCATCAAGTCCCCACAAGTTTTTGTATGGTGTGAAAGGGAGAAAAGGACTTCTTTCTCTACCGTCTCTATCCCAGGCATAATTTCTTAAACCTCTATCACATCACCCCTCAGTCGTCATTCCTCCAAGCTCAAGAGCCCTAGCCTCTTTAACCTTTCTTCAGAGGGAAGGTATTCCAACCCTATAATTGCTTTAGTTGCCCTTTTCTCCACTTTTTCCAATGCAATAATGTCTTTTTTGAGGTGTGGTGACCAGAACTGTACACAGTATTCCAAATAAGGCTGCACCACCGATTTATACAGGGGCATTATGATACTGGCCGATTTGTTTTCAGACCCCTTCCTAATAATCCCCAGCACAGTGTTTGCCTTTTTTATTGCAGTTGACATTTGCATTGCAGTTGACACGATCTAACCAAAACGCCAAGATCTCTCTCCTGGTCGGTTACCACCACTTTAGACCCCATCAACATATATTTATAGTTAGGATGTTTGGGTCCAATGTGCATTATTTTGCACTTGCCCATGTTGAACCTCATTTGCCACGTTGATGCCCACTTGCCTAGCCTCGACAGATCCCTCTGGAGCAGTGTTCCCTCTAAGCTTAGTGTGAGCTAGCTCACAGTTTTTTAAGCCTCCAGCTCACACATTTTTGTCTTAGCTCAGGAAGGAGGGCTCCAGAGCAGACGAATTTATGCAGTAGCCAAATCGCTCGCTCACAGCTTTAATGCCAGTAGCTCACAAAGTAGAACTTTTGCTCACAAGACTCCACAGCTTAAGAACACAAGAGACACCAATGTTGGATCAGGCCAAAGGCCCATCCAGTCCAACACTCTGTGTCACACAGTGGCCAGAAATACCAGGTGACATCAGGAGGTCCACCAGTGGGGCTTAGAGGGAGCATTGCTCTGGAGCACCTCACAGTCCTCCCTGGTTCTTACTGCCCTGAACAACTTAGTGTCACCTGCAAGCTCAGCCATTTTACTGCTTACTCCCAACTCCAAATCATTAATGAACCAGTTAAAAATCACCTGATCTAGCACCGAGCCCTGTGGTTTCCCGCTACCTACAATCTTCCACTGTGAAAACTGCCCGTTTATACTCACTCTCTGTTTCTTGATAATTAACCAGTTTTTAATCGACAAGAGGACTTGTCCTCTTATCCCATGACCGCTGAGTTTGCTTAGGAGCCTTTGAGGATGAACTTTATCAAAAGCTTTCTGGAAGTCTAGGTAAACAACATCTATTGGGTCACCTTCGACCACATTTGTTCACCCTCTCAAAGAATTCAAAAGGTCCGTGAGACAAGATCTTCCCTTACAGAATCCATCAGGCAAGTTAAGCTGAGAGCTAGTTTGGTGTAGTGGTCAAGTGCGCGGACTGGGAGAGCCGGGTTTGATTCCCCACTCCTCCACTTGCAGCTTCTGGATGACCTTTGGCAAGCCATAGTTCTGTCAGAGCTGTCCTCTCTGTCAGCTTCCTGTCGGTCCAGCTTCCTGTTGGTCTTCCTTTTCTGTTCTCTGAAAGGGCAGTTCTCAGTCAGAGCTCTCTCAGCCCCGCCTACCTCACAGGGTGTCTGTTGTGGGGAGGGGGAAGGGAAAGGAGTTTGTAAGCCGCTCTGAGACTCCGAGCGAAGGGTGGGGTATAAATCCAATCTCTTCTTCTTCTCTTCTTCTAAGACCGCCCCACCCCCCCAGTCAGCCTCTCATGGCTCCCTGGACTCTAGCCCAATTACTACACCTGTTGGTTAAGGAAGGGGTTGTGGCTCAGTGGTAGAACATCAGCTTGGTCCCAGGTTCAATCCCGGACATCCCCACCTAAAAAGGACCAGGCAGTAGGTGGTGCGAAAGACCTCTGCCTGAAGTCCCAGAGAGCTGCTGCCAGTCTGAGTAGACAATACCGACTTTGATGGACTGATGATCTGATTTAGTATTAGGCAGCATGATGCCTTCATGTATTCTGCCAGGCCAACTCCTCCTGGATCTCCAAGGCTTCTAGGCAGCCCCTGCCATGGGCTTTAAGTGGAGATTCCAAGAACTGAACTTGGGCACCATTGAGAAGTCCGCGGCGACTGCCAGAGAATTGAGGGAACAGCCCAGAATACTCACTCATTGGGGAGCTCGTCTACATGCAGCGCCACCGAGCCTGCTTCGTAGCCTTGCTGGTTGTTTTCTGGGACGTCCATGTACCTTTCCGTGTAACCGGTGTCGTAAGCCATCCAGACAGTGACGGGGGCCCCTGCTATAGCGACCTGGGTGGGTCAGAGAGACAGAAAGGGGCTACCCGTCATGCTCGGGTCTGGGGATGTTCCATGCTAACAGGAAACATATGAAATGTTGTGCCAGACGCATGTCAATTGGCGGCAGGGGTAGGCATCATGCAAAGGTGCTGGCTGTGACCTTTAAAGCCCTTCATGACCCACGTATCTGAAGGACCACCTCCACCTGTTTGGGTGTAGTGGTTAAGTGCGTGGACTCTAATCTGGGAGAACCGGGTTTGATTCCCCACTCCTCCACTTTCAGCTGCTGGATGACCTTGGCCAAGCCATAGTTCTGTCAGAGCCATGGCCGGCTCACCCGCTAGGCGAACTAGGTGTTCGCCTAGAGCGCGGGTGAGCCCTTAGGGCGCGGGAACAGAGGCAGGGGCAGCGCAGGAGCCAAGCACCGTGGCGCCCCCTCGGGCCAGCCAGCCGCCACCTTCTGAAGCCTCCGCTCCGCCTCCCATGCCTGCCCGCCTTCCTGGGCTGCCTCCCTTCCCTTCCTCCGGCGGCCGCAGTCGGCGCCCCAGGGGGGGCGGAGCCTCGAAGCCAACCTCTCGCCCTGACTCAGAGAGGCCGTCTGGGCGCTCCTAGGTGTCCGCGGCGGTCCCAGATACCCGCCGCCTCTCTGCAAAGCCCGGCGGTGCTGGGGACATGGGAGGCGGCGGTGGAGGAGGAGGCAGCGCCCCCTCCCACCCGGCGGCCTGAATGCTGCTCTGCTCCCGCCCGCCTGCCTAGCCGCAGCCTCCGGCCCTCCTCTCCCCTGCCGTCCGGTCTGGCGGGGCGCGCCGGGCTGGGG